GATTTATTTATGACTTATGTCCTCGAAGTGCAAAGAACGAGGGAAAAGAAAAAAAGAGTCGACCTAATCAAAGAACTAGACAACCAGATATTTAAACCGGATTTTCCAGACGACTGTAGGCGGTATGTTTTCAACTTTTCCTCTGGTTATCTTGATAGGACTCAACTAGAAGTGTTATCATTAGGTCCTATGTTTTGTGATAGTCGTAGACATGTTGATAATTTGAAGACTGATGTTCAGTTCGAGAACCTATTTACCCAGACACAAAACTTAAAACCCACGACAAAATCCGAACATGAACGATTCAAAACCACTCTGATTGATTGCTGTAACCAATTCAAAAGCAACAAGCAGTACACAAATGGTATATTGACAGATAAACATCGTGAGGCTATCCGGAAACTCAAGTTGAATGAACACATTCTTATCACCAAACCTGATGAAGGATCGGGCACGGTAATTCTAAACAAGATAGACTACATAGATAAGATGAATTCCCTACTGAGTGATCAAACTAAATTCCAAAAGCTTGGGTCAGGTAAAGACCTCAATGAAAAGACCAAACGTCACCTAGCTACAGCATTAAAATTTCTAAAACAACATCAATACATCTCTGAGCATACCTATAACGCGCTCAAGCCTTCTGGAACACATACCCCTCGATTATATGGTCTACCTAAGATTCATAAACCTGAAGTTCCTTTACGCCCGATTCTGGATATGACAAATTCAACATACCATTCAACAGCTAAATGGCTAGTTAAGTTATTAGAGCCATTGCACCAAGAACTTGCTAAACATAATGTCAAAGACGTCTTTGAATTTGTTGATACCATTAAAAATATGAATTTAAATGGCAAAACCATGCTATCACTAGACATAACATCTTTGTTCACTAACATGCCTCTGACTGAAACTATCGATTACATATGTGAACAACTGTTAGAAAAGAAAACAGATAAACCTATCCCAATAAATAAAATGAAAGAACTTCTGTTGAAATGCACTATGAATACCTTCTTTAAGTTTAACAATGAATTTTTCAGACAAGTAGATGGGGTAGCAATGGGATCACCTCTAGGCCTGTTGCTTGCTAATATTTTTCTGACCAAACTAGAAAATGGACCGCTTAAAGACATCTTAAGTAAGCCTGATTATTATTGTCGATATATAGATGACACACTGATTATATGCGACGGAAATATCGACAAACAGGCGATGTTAGACGAATTCAATAATGTCCACCCAGCCATTAAGTTCACCAGCGAGGAGCAGAAAGACAATTATATCTTTTCTGGATGTCCTAGTTTCTAGAAGGATAGATGGTTCCATAAAGCGAAATATATTTAGAAAGAGTACATGGACGGGTCAGTATACCCATTTTCAAAGCTTCACACCTCTTCAATATAAAATAAATATGGTTAAGTGTCTCAACCACAGAATACATTACGATATAATGGCTATCCTGATAATTTCGTCAAAAAATACCTCGTACAAAGTAATAGAAAAAGAAGACATTGTGAAACAGTCAGCAAAAAGACCTTGTATCTGAGACTTGACTTTAAAGGGGATGTAGCGGATGATATTCTAACACGTCGACTCAAAAGATCGGTCGAAAGGACGTTTCATGCCGCCAAGTTACACAAAATTTCCTTGACTAAACCAGCACTCACACAACTAATCAAGGATAGGTTACCGAAGATGGGCTCCTCCATGTGTGTATACCAATTTGTTGGGGACGATAGATCCCCAAAAACTCATAGTTTGTAATTTATCTTGTGGAGCTTGTTTGCAGAGGTATACGTGGGCATTTCTTACCACCCACGCACATAGTTGATTGAGGAATTTATCGATTAAATGTTTAAATATTTCAATGGCAGTCAATTGACGATCTATCGATTAAATGTTTAAAAGCTCCATGACAATATCGATGTATATGTATTTGTATATATACGTTTTAAAATTGTTTTTGTAAAAAGTTTGCTGGTTTTCAGGTTGTTACAGAATATACTTTCATTCTAAGCTTGGTCTTCTCACTCTAGATAGCGGGGCTGGGACGCGTCAATAGATAGCTTACTGGACCTTGGTCACCGAATCCTCGATCTCTTTCTCAAACTACATGAACCCGTAATAGCTCTCTCTCTCTTTCAAAACCTAACACAATTCAACTGCTCCTGTGGAGCTAGTTACATAGGCCATACTCAGAGGGCTTTATCCTTGCGTGTTCGTGAACATGTGCCGGCATGGTTGGGGAAAGGAGTTACTAAATCGATTAACAGTGCTATTCTTTCACACTTGGTAGATAATGAACATCATATCAAAATAGAGGAAGCTTTCTCTGTCTTGTATCAAGTTCCAAAATATCTACCTTAAGGAGCTAGATTACATCTACTTTACATAGCCGAAGCCATCTGGATCAACTCCAGGAAACCAAATTTATGTATCCAGAAAAAATATATCCAGCCCCTATGTTTACATTGGCCTACGACTGGATCACCGAATACCTAGTCTGAATATTTTAAACCTCTTACCCCCTTCCTCTAATTTTATTTATTTTCCTTATTATCATTATTTTTTATTATCCCTATCTTAATCTTCACATCTATCATTCCCGATTCGTTGATCGTAGTTACCTTGATAACACCCCCTACCCCCTTATTACAGTTTATATTCACACAACAATCCTATTATTAATATCTCAATTGACACGATGTAATTCTTTTACTATGCATTTTATTCACACACTTTTGTTTTTACATTTTCGATTTTGCTATAATACTATTCTACTTATTGTGATTGAACACTATGTGGTGGACCAGACAATATATTAATTCAAAAGGTAATGATAGAGTTATTTATAACAAATAGCAATATTTATATATATAAGTTAAATGTCATAAACACAATAGAAATTAGGAACGTTACTTATTTTACCAGGAGAGTGCGTGTTCCAAATTGATCTAGTGTTAAATATCCACAATTATAGATGATTAATAATTCCTATGAGTGTGATGGGTTCCCCGATGATAGGATCCAGTAGTAAATATGGTATATTCCAATTATCGTCTGTAAAGATAAATGGTACTTGATTCAGACTTCAGTTAACACAAATGCGAGTGAATTTAGAACGAGAGGTATGTGTGTAGTAGTGTATTTTGGAAACGACCACAGAAAGTGTCACGCTATGTTAGTATCACAACGGAAAAAGTGATCAAGGTCATTTACTTAAACAACAGGTACAATGATTTAATAATAAATGTACATACATTGAAAGATTGACAAAATGAATACAAATAATATTAAAAATTATTTACAAAACAAGTTTGAGAGACCTATCTCCACAACTACTCCAAATCATCCTGACCTTTATTGAATGACCTTTCTAATTTGCAAATAATACCATTTTGAAGTATATATATATCGTAACAGATGCAAACTGCACCAATTTTTTAACACATAACATTGTCAAATTTCGTCAATACATGCCTTATTTTGGCTTTTGTAAAATATTATAATTATGGACTTATAACTGTAGAGCCTGATGATGAAGTTATTGAAAACAATTGTTCGCTCAGATATATATATATATATATATAACAACTATTTGAGGGATTCATCCTTTTATTATTCATTTTATTCGAATTTATCTGTAGAGAAGGTGACTTCAGAAGCTAAATAATTTAATCTGCTTGACGAACTACGTCTGCTTAAGGTCAAGGATCAGAAACTATGTGAACAGTTATCCAGTCGTCGTCAAGCGCAGAATGTGTCTTCGCAGATGAATACTTCCAAAACAGCGATCCATTGATGCTTACATTCTTGGCATGAAATGATGATGCTACTCTACGTCATAATTTCGTGTGAATAATTAAGGATCAAAACGTTTGTGTTTCGACCATAAAAACAACCTTACAAAGTATGACGTAGATAGTCTGCGACATGATGTAAACTACGCCAAACACCTTAGTTGTTCCACCCTACAAGTTTCACAAGTCGAGAAAGTCTTAGTGTCTTAATTATCAATGATTAGAAATCAAGTGTGAAGTGTAGCATGGATACCTTTAGAACCCGACGACCATTTTCGGCCAGCCTGATGAGAAATCTTTTCACTCAATTTTAAACATTTATATTGTCTTTTTTAGAGTGTAGATCATTAACGTAGGTGATCTATGTAGATGATTGAGATCCACTTGAGTTTGACGGGAATGGTGTAAATTTCTGGCTTACATCGAAGCCTTACTTTGCAGCTAATGTCACTCTTTCGTCGTACCTACTCTGACGACAGCATAAACTGAGCATTGCCTTTTGGTCGAAGTTTATTGTTAAGAATAAATAGAAGAGACAGTGTGACCACTACCAAATGGGCAAGTCCGTAGTACGCAATTAATTGATGCGCTTCATTATCCCTGACCCTAACGAGGATCGGTAAGCTGTTTGATATCAGTGACTTGCCTTCTGAATTATTTAGCTAAGGCATTTCACTGACGCTACAATATAATAAAAACACAGTTTCTTCTCTCACTTCAGAAGGATGAAAATACTTTGGATTGTATCCAAAGACTATGGAATTAGTTCGCGGAATGAAACCCAAGTTTTAAGAGGAGATTTCCGAATCACCAGATTGTTCTTTGGAACATAGGTCACACATACGTAGACACATGATAATCAACAGCACTTTCAATATCCCTGAACACTTTACAGAATAATTACGTAGCTTCAGTTCCAACAAACACCTCAGGGGAAATACAAGAAAATTAGAGGTGTGACACTGAAAAATTGATGGTCGATATATCTTTTCTTTTTAACTAGTAGTTAAAACTTGAATTTGTTTGTCATTTGAGATGGTTCGAGCATTTTTGTAAAGTTATTTCAAGAGGAAGATGAAAGTTTTCTCAATGACTGAAAGTTGTATCAGAGAAAGAAGTCCATTAGTCCAAAGCTTCTTCTAATTCGTTCACAACCACTTGAACCACATGAGCAATTTGTTTCAGTTTCTCCCACTTGTCCCTAAGGTCAACGTTCACAAAGGCGGGGTGGGATGAAGGCTGTTGGTAGTGGACGGCTAAGGCCGTTTCTTGTCGTTAGCCTCTCATTTATTGGATTCACATCGTTGCTTATATATATCACTCGCCGGTTGCCCTCACTTCCAGAGTAAATATATATTATCCTCTTACTTTAGTTGCCAGGGAACATCGAGGACACTTTAAATTCCCTCACAATGTTGACGAGCTAAAAAATATTGGTATAGTCCTGTCAGAATACCAAGACAATTACTACTGGCAAATATTAATTCTGATAAGCATCGTTTTAATATTGTATCCTTTTAGTTCTACTTGTGTGGAGTGCCGATGCTAATCGGTCCTAATAAGTATTTTTTCAGGAAAACGATAGCATCCTTAACACGTAAGGTTTTCCACCAGTTCTTAATAGCAAGAAGCTTGTCAGTTTTATTTTGCTTTCATGTGCCTGATGCTAGTCATATTTTCTATGTTTCGAATGCATCAGGATTTTCTGCTGCCACTAAATTTCTGAGTTCTGCTGTTATTCGGTAGACCATGGTATGACAGACAAGCATTTCTGTGCGGTAATTTTTCGTGCAACTCACAGTGTTTTGAGAACCATTCGAATCCAGACCTTGACGATGTAAAAACCCTTAAGAATCAGTTTATCTCCACATAGCGTTCGTTTGTTAATGTTTATTAGGGTCTTTTTTTGTGACGATTAACGTGGACATATATTTTCGTTCCTTGGAGCTTGTGCGCGTCACGTAGCAGCATGTCTCTGTAGTATAAGCAAAGGTTACTCAGGTGCTTCCTCTGTTAAATGTCATCTTCAGATTGTCTTCCTATTTCATTGGTCTTATGAGTCCTAACAGCAGCTGCTAGTAATAGCTTGCTAAATAATGACTTGACGTGTTCTAGATCTCACTCAAACCTTGTCTTTGGACTCTTGATAGTCAATGGTAAACCGTGAATTGCATAAGGTAAACTTTTTGGGGCCCACCAAGTTTTCATCTTATCGTTAGACATTTCTAGTTATTTTTCTGCATCTCCGCAACCGCTTTTATATAGATGGATGTTATAAAACGAAACATTTTGTGTAGCTATCATCGCTGTGGCTTGCTACTTTTCGTAGACAATAGGTTATTCGGTACGCGTTTTATGCTACCATCTGCAGTCATCACACAACATAACATCCCCTGCTTAGAATTAGCAGATTAGTTTTCTACAACAATGACTTGTCCTGATCCTCCTTTGATTAAACTACGAAATTTAAAAAACTGGAGTACAATCAACCCAGGACACCAAGAAGTTTGCTTTTGCAGAAATGAAGCGGAAATATAGGAAGTCAGATGCGTCTCAGCCCCGCTAACTAGGGAGAGAAGTCCAAGTTCAAAACATCCTCAGCAGTAAACAGGCTTTAAATTCTGACTTGTTAAACACCTTAGTTTCCAGAAGTCATATATACTCCATATATTTGTGAAACTAAGTGTACAGATGTTGCCTCGTGTATATTGTTAGGTTCCTAAGTATCAAGGTTCGTGGCTGGGGTTTTATTTTACCGTTTTCTGATCTTTATCGTTCTTAAGAGAAAGCCTCACTTTTGTGCTGTTAAGTATGGAGGTGTTTCTTTCATTTCTACTATACTAAAATACTTCCGTTCACCATATCAGTCGGTCGGCTTTCTTGGGGCTCTAGTCGTTTCTTTTCACAACCAATATGTTCTTGTTTAACGTATGCATCCTGATGAAAGTTTTTGAATTGTCTCTTAACTGAAACATAGCCTTCAATCATTCATGATACCAGGTTCGATCGTGTGTGTGGTTCTATTGGGGTATCTGTTTCCTTTCCCAGTCGCGGTCATTATTGTAGCTTTGGTAAGCCACCGCAGAACTATTGATAAAGTTGTATTTAGTGTTCGGCGATTGGGGCGTCACTGTGCTATCTTCTCGTTGGCTTTATCGGTTCCAAAGTACTGATGTATTTCATCCCCGAAAAAATTGAATTATGTCGTCAAACAGTAAGTTCGGAATATCCGTCTTTTAGTATGTTTTAGATCCAGCGGTACCGACATGCAATGTTTTTTTGTATATGCTGTTTACGAATATGTCCTTTCATCCCAAATTGGCTTGTGAATATTTCTTCTCCAATAATTGATATCCCATTGGTTCATTTCTTCTTTGGAACATTTGTAGGTAAGCTTTTTACACTATTATGTTGGTAAACTTATGCGGCTGTTAAATTATTCCGACACATACCAGTGTTTAAAAAAGCTAATAAGTGATCTGAATCTTACTAAAAAGTAAGAAAATAGAAATCTATGATGGGATCACCAGTTGTCCCCAGTCGACCAGCTCTGCTTGGAGTCAACATGGCAAGCCCATTTTTGCTGAGGAAATCTGGATAAAGCAACCAGATATTGATTTTCAAATTTTTTCTGCTTTAGTGGTGTACAACTAAAACTTCTTATAATAACTTCATAATAACTTCATATAATTTGTATAGTTATTATCATTGGTCCATATACTCAGTTTCCAACTGCATAATTAAGTTTGGACCTTTGACTTTGATAGTGAGACTGGGAAACCAGATAATCCACACAGTAGGTTTTTACGTGATTTAGTAAATAAACCTGTAATCGACCATATAGTTAAATAAATTAGCCTGTTTTGTATACGATTTTTCAAAATTGCAAATAAATCTCACCACTTATATTTTGTCATATGGAGTACTTCATCGATATTTCAGCATTCCTATAATTTCGTTTTCTAGTATTTGTTTCAACTTCATGTTACACCACTCTTGTCTTTTATTTTGTTTTCTTTTTACAGGAGTAGTTCCATTATCATTAGTATTCATTAAAGCAGGAACTGTGCTTCAAGAACTCACAGATTTAGGTGTTACTTCTTTAGCTTCATTTTCAACACTGATAATTTTAGCTGGTTTATCACTTCTACCTTTAGTCTTTCGTAATCAACTCCGTGAAGCATTTTTATAGTCGACTTTATGTTCTCTCACTCTTGTTATGTTGATTGATTTTGTGTTCATCACACATTAACTGAATTAGCTAAAGTATCTAGAAGTGATCACATTGTACATATTTTTTGGTAGATGTTTAAAAATATTTTTGAGCTGTTTTAACAGTGTTCATTTGAATCCTGTGATGATAAAAGCAATATTGCGAAATTCTGTTGTTTCTCTTCATTTTTCAATTCTAGTTTTGTGATCTGCTAACTATTAACACCACAGTTGGTTCTTATTTACGCTTTTTTTCCTATTACCTATTATCCTTCAGTGATTGGCTGTATACAGCTTGTTATCAGATTGTTTTCTTTGTTACTTGGGTTTAAAATTCAGTCGTTACATTTATGTGCATGTGCAGTTGATTAATTTATGTTAATATATATTTGCTGTTACAGAAATTGCCTTTATTCAATGAAGTGGGGAAGCTAGGTATCGTTGTTGGACTAACATCAAATAGCATGAGAATGGTAAGAAAAAAGGTTTCAGATGTGGTCTTATATAAACTGTACTCTGTAAAGACTAGTGTTATCAAGTTTTTCCGTTTGGGTCTGTGTACATACGTGAGGAATTCGTTTTTTTCTAACTATTATGCGCCTCATATGCCTTTTGGCAGCATAAAATTATAAGCGTTAGTCGTCTTGCATTGATTTACTTCCGGTTGATAAGCCTTACTAAGAGCATATTAAGTCGGAATTTTTTTAGCAGTCTTGTTGCGGTTTCTGATATGCCATTTATGTATGGTAGGGTGATCCGTTTGTTGATTTCTGTGCTCTGATGCTGCATGTGGTTGGTATTTTTTGATGAAGTTGATTGGGTAGCCCTTCTTTTGAAATACTTCCTTCAGGTATTTCTCTTCCATTCTTCGTGCTGCCAGTGTGTCCTCGCCCTCTTGAACAAAGTTTGTACGCAGTTGATGATGGAGAAATACCAATGAATTACTTCTTTTTAAGTGTGCGTCGATAACATTGTCTAGAAAAACATTGAAAGCATCACTAGTAAACTAACTGTTGGGGTGATCCAGAAAATTTCTTGCAAAAGACAAGCAAGGATTAGGAAACACTAAGAAGCATTTCTTCCAATCAGCGTTCACTTGAAGTTTTAGCCAGAAACACCAAGGAGGTGAAACGTCACATGTAGGGTTTCTGATTGGCTGGATGTTATACTGCTACTATGTTTAGTAGTATTCCAGAATCTTCGAGCAACCTAAGGACATTTAAAATGTTATAAAAACCCTATATTTTCTGTATTAAAATGAACATTTGGAGTAAAGTAGTTCTCGCATACTTTGCGTCTTCTCTCTCGTGTTCAGGTCGCTGTATAGTTCTAGCTTGGGAACCGAGTATAGCGTTCAGTTTGCAAGACTTATCATTAACCAATGCAGAGAGCTCGAGATCTAAAATTCTCATTCTGAGTCATAAACACATTTCATCCTTCTTTTTATTTCACTAGACTTGTGCTACAATGTTGTAATTTAATGAGTTACAAAATAAGAACTTGTCTGATGGAGAGGTGGCTTATTAGTTGAGTTGCAGATCGGAATACCGCCTAATCTATTAGATTTTTACAGTCGAGTAATGTCTACTAGCCTAATACGAAATGTTTGACCTAAAGTAAGATACCTAAATCTCTAATTGGTAGGGAATTACACTAATAATATATTTACTTAATATTATAAGTTAACCAACACTCGGAAAGTTGTATTCCAACTTGAAATTGCGCTAATCACCAGGAAACAGTTTATCTTAGTGTATTATGGTGATTAAACTTAGTTGGTACGACTTTCATGTTAGAATTTTTATCTTAACTTCACCAATCATTGAGTTTACTAATAACACTTACATTTAAAAGACAGAGATACTAGATAGATCATATACATTGAATTCGGGTATTTACCCAATGGAAATGCTTAGTTCTTGTAGTTTCATAGCCCTCCATAAACTTCATCTTTATATCTAGAAATAAGTTAAATGAGAGAGTACATAATTTGATATATATATTGTAGCCCTCAAATGCCGTGGTACGGCCAAATGTGGGGAGAGTCAGTTCTCCCTCTTGAAAAAAACATGGCCACGTGCATACAACCACTGCCAGGGAATTCCTACTCATTGCTTACTCGCGACGGAGGTATTGTTTACGAAATTGCTTTAACCAGGTTGGTGGACGCAGAGTCCACCGAGGGGAGTTGGAAAATCCTAATTCCAAACCAATGGTGCATATGTGCTCCAGTTTCCTGAAGGAACGAATGGCGTATGAACCTATTGTTGGTCACCGGCTACCATGGGACTGCATCTCGTTACGTTGCTCTACTGCCTTGTGGTTCAAACCTTTAGGTCGAAGACTCCGGATGTGGTCCCCTAAGAAAACCACCTGTTTCGGTTTGGGCATACGGATAATATCTTAACCCTCATACAATTCGAGTGGTTTATTTGGCGCATGTGGATTCGGTGCCTCTTCGTATCAATGTTTATGTGTTTAAATAAATAAAATTGAGAAAGTATATATTTTTTATCAATTGTCTAAGAAAACGTAGTTCAATAATTTAAGGAAAGATTTCATCACTAAGTAACCTCAACAGAGAAGTCTCTGTAAACACATGTAATCGATGTCAGAAAATTTAATTTTTCTACTTATTGGGATATTACAAATATATTCACTCAATCAGCATTAAAGTAGAACTTCGTACATACGTACATCAGTTCAAGTTGCCATACCACATTAGCAACAACATTATTCAGTTCATGGTATTAATTAACCTTCATTAATTATTGTCAGTGAACAGTAACTAGATTTCGTACAATACAATTAATTATATAATATAATAAAATTCATATCTTATCATATGTATTAAATTATTTATTGTATTAACTGTGTTGCCAGTTAGCCTTATATTGATCATATTTAATTTCTACCATAAATCATGTTAATTAATCTTGTTCAGTAGAGAGCATGTGAAAACTACTAGGAATCATGAATAAATTGTTTGTTTTTTGTTGTTGCTTTTATCATGAATTAGTGAAATAGTATGAAGACATTTGTTATTTATGATTGTTTATTTACAATCCAGTGATTATACTCAATAAATTAATATGATAGAATTTTTAATCATTTCATTATGGGTAGTTTTTTTAAAATTTCAACTTCTGAATACATACTTCTAATTTAAAAAAAATCTAAAAGTATAACTATTCTGTAAAATGATGGTTGGAGGTAGTCAACAGGAAATCCCGTTGAGCACGGATAGCTCAATGGTAACGTTTCTGGTTGTGAAACTGGGTGATAGGGGATCGAGTCTGTCAGAGAGCACCGGTTCCCTCAAGATTACAGGTACACCTTGCTGACGAATACTAAATAGCACGAAATTCGGGTAAAAAAGTATCAGAATTTCCTGTTGACTACCTCCAACTACCATCTTATCTCAACATATTGCACAGAATGTCAAATCACCTAGACTAGTGGCCACATTGCAACTTGATCGATAGCATTCGATCTGCAGTAAGAAGGATCTGACACACATAACATTGATCGTCACCCAGTGATCAATCAATTGTGTATAAATATTCTGTGTACATTGTGGGTTGGTACTACGCTTAATTAAAAAGAATGCAAAAAACAGACTTGAGAAAAAATTATCTAGTCAGTAACAATCGTTTATCAGATTAAGGAGATATCATAATTAGAAAATCACTTCGTCTAGTTGAATTCAAGTTAATAAGTAGTGTATATGGATTTATCTGATAGGATTTATTTATAGTTGTTTCAGTCATACTTTATCTCCACTTTAATTGATAACTCTATCTGAACAGTCTGGCAATATAGGCAGTATAGGGAAAAAATGACTATGTATTTGTAGGACTGTGTACTTTGATGTTAAATAGTTGATTTCTCTGTTCTTCTTAACAATAAAGTATAATCATCTTACTCAAAAACTACATGATTAAGTTGTTTTGTGTAATTCAATCAGTACTGAGACTTAAAGAATATAGCGGTGCATAACTGCTCAATACGTAAGCAGTATTAATGCATGTGAGTTCAAAAGTAATAAAGGGGAAAGACACAGAAATTACAATAAATACACTAGTTTTAATTTCTTACTATTATTATTACTACTACTACTAACAATAATAATAACAATAAATGAATAGATTAACACTAGAAATTGTGGGTTCGATTCCCTGTGGTAATGTTGTGGGTGCGCATTGATGAGGAGTCACATACTGGAACAAAACAGATTTTTATAGATTCCCGATTTTACATAGTAGTCTGACTAAGATTAATTCATGATGCAAACTATGAAAACTTAACAATATCTACAAAACCCTTATACTGTTAGATACAAAATAAATAAAAGTAGTGTGGTGTATGCTACTTATATCTGTTGACATAAATAGTATGCAACACCAACCAAATTTGAATGGCTGACAACAGGAAGTTAAGAAGATCGAATTAAAGAAAATAGAAAGGAATTGTGAAATGGAAGAATCATACAGAATATAATGAACAATTCATGAAATATTTGCAAATGAAGTATTTAAAGTATAGTTCTTATATTTTACCAAGATATTCCATCGTTTTGTAATAGTAAACAATAAATTATTCATCCTCACCTAAGCTCTCGTTCACTCCAGTAATATTCACCTTTCAAAATGGTGATCTGTCTGAAAAAACTATCATATTTATGTAATTACCTTCGACAAATGTAAGACAATATTATAATAATATTATAATAATAGTATAATCACGAGAAAAGATAATTCAGCCACCATGATTATAAAATGCCAACTTTACGAAAATAATTTTAAATTATAGATACTAAGTATTTTACAAAGCATTTGTTCTTCATTTAGTTCGCTCCTGCCAAGAGTTTATATTGTTCAGACAATGTTTAAGGATTAACATCAATATTGATCAAGTTCTTGTCTATGTATTCAATTTAAACTTAATGGAATAATTCTATAATTAACTAGCCTATTTATCTATTCTTGAATTTCTTTTTTGAAATGAATATTAAATAGATATATATTGAGGAATAGTGAGAATCTAAATATCAAGAGAATGATATCCTATCATTAGAATAGGGGTTTGTGGAGATTGTAGTAATTTAATAGTTGAATTTATGAGTCAATTTAAGCTAGATCGCCATGGAAAACCTAGAAGCACTGGACAACTGTTTCGTCTTAGTATGCGATTCCTCAGTAGTGAGCATCCATGATTCCGCATACGGGACTCAAATCCAGAACCTTTGGTCTCGCACGTGGACTCTGAACCTCCAGATCACTGAAGAGGCATCCAATGATGACTAACTGCAACCCATCCACAATATTGCGCGACCATCCACCATTGTCTTCAGTGAGTAACTCTTCAGGATAGTGGATACTGTCTGTGAATCTATAACGGT